AGCAGGAATTATGTAAGTGACGCTCTTTGCAAGAGCCTCTTCTGTGGTACAGCCGCTTCCCCACACACACAAACAGCACCGCTGTTTTTGGCAGGGCTGGATGAATCCCCCGGCAACAACCCAGGTTTTGTTTTGCTGCACGGCCTGTATCTTCTCGTTGTTTTGATACTCGTTCTCTCTCTCTCTTTGTTCTAGCAAAACGAAGCCAAATTGGATGAAATTTTGAAAGAGCTGAAATCTCTAAAAGACACAATCGCCTACCAAGACGAGCGCATTGCCAAGTTAGAACAGCAGATGGCGAAGATTGCAGTCTGAGAGCCGCGCCGGAGGAGGGGGGGGGGAAGAAGCAGAAACTGCGATGAGCCAGGCATGGGACTGGGGGTGAGGGAGGGGCGGGGGGGAAGACACTGCCATTTGGGAAGACATTCCATCTCCTGGCACAACGGCTCCTGGGGGTATTCCGGTCAGAACTTGGTTCTCCTCCTAAATTCACGAGCGCCAGCGGAAGCCGACGATCCAAAGCCAACTTTTTTTTTAGTGAAAGGTTATCGTTTTGTTCCCGACGATTGTCACGTGACCGTTGCCATAAAGCGTTGGTTTTGCAGTCCGCTTCCCACACATCAGTTGATCGGCATGCCGGTCCTCCTGCCTTTCCAAACTTGCCAACTTCCTAGGATTTGGGACCAATTACTGTGTTGTTTTTAAAGTACTTTTTTTTTTTAAACTTTAAAGTTGCCAAAATCCCAAAGTAGTTTTTTTTAATTTCTCTCTCTTTTTTAAAAACCATTTTGCAGTGTTTGATTTTCTTAATCTACGGGAACGTGTCTTTGTGTTTATTGGTGCCATTCAGAGAACAAAGTGGTTTTTGACGGAAATCTTTTTTAACTTGGAACGTTTTGGAGGGAGGGGTCCCCATGCAGCACAGACGAGGCAGCCCAGAAGGTGGTCCGGGGCTGAGATCGCTGACTTTTTCTAAATGCATCCTGACCCCCTCCTCCCTGCGGGCCCACAGCCTCCCCCTTCCCCTCTGCAGTGGAGGGCTTTCTCCAGGCCCACCCATTGAAGTCATATTTCCCCTTCAGCCGGGCATGTCGTGCTTTGGATTCAATCCCCGTTCGTGTCCCAGATGAGCATGCTGTGGTGCCTGCTGGTTTTTGGGTCCGCGTGTTTCTGCAGACGTTCCATTTCTCACCCAGATGTAAGGTTTTAAGAATACGATATCAGAGCATCAAGGACAAAATTTTACAAGCTCTTGAGCAACTTGTTGGGATTCTTTTTCTCTCTTCCTTCCTTTCCCCGTGTGTATAGCTTGCGCAACCGTGCCCCTCGTGGAGCCTGGGGCTTCCTTGTCGGGGTCACTAAGGGTTATTTAAATAAGTGAGGTTTTCTCTTTCAAAAAAAAAAAATATCCTCATGTTCCTTGAGAAATAACAGCTAGAGCTTGACTGTCCCCGTTGCAGTGGATGGGCATCTGTCTGCTCACGGCCAGTGTCTTGGACTGTCCGGCCTGGTAGCCTGGAGAAAGGTGGGCGTTTCAGCTTTGCCTCCCTGGACAGTTCCGGGGGGGTGGGGTGGGACGGGACCAGTTTCTCAGATGGAGGCGCCCATCGGTCCTGCGGGTCGCCTGATCCTTGCTGACTCATTGGCCACGGCCTCCCTCTCCAGCTCTCTTAGCGAGTGGCGCTGTAGCCCAGCAGAGACCAGAGGGCGCAGTGCCCTCGGCTTGCATGCTGCCGTGTCAGCCCCGCTGCCGGAGTCCCCACCTCAGTAGCTCCAGCATCAGACACAGAACAGTAATTTGTACTCCGCTTGCCGCAGAGTCCGATTCCCGGCTTGCGCACGCAGGTTGTAGGGTTGGCTTTGTTTGGGGGGGTGTTGTTTTTTTAAGTGGTTCTCGCCTTCAGGCTCTCAGGAGCTGTGGGGTTATCACCTCCCTTTCGAAGGGAAGTCTTAGTCGTCGCACACGTTGGCTGAATAGCGCCGACTCCTAGGTCCCCTGGTGCTCATCCAGAGGAAATGCAGACAGCTTGTGGGTGCCTAAGCGGCAGTAGAAGGCGGCGCCTGCACATCCCAGGTGGAATTCTCTTCACATTTCCCCCTGCTGCATTCTTCTGTAACGGCTGGTGAGAGAGAGGGGGTTTCAGGCCAGAAGGAAACGTTCAGACCGCAGAGATGATGTGGGACGTTCCTACCAAGCCTTGTCATCTGCAAGGCCTTTGTGGATCCTGCATCCAGGTGATGGTGTGTTCTTGATGCCAGTGGCGTCACGTGGAGGGGGGTGTCACAAGGAAGGTTCCACAGTAATCCTCACCCTCTGTCCCGGGTCCAGAATGCCAATCCAACCAGCACAGACTGCTGTAGTTTCTCCCTTCCCCTCTCCCGGTGTCTTGCAAATGTGGGGTGCGTTGAGTCACCAAGACCCCTGGAAGAACCTTGCGGCTGGACCATAACAGGGGAGCTTGTCGGTCACCTTGAAGGTCCTTTGTTACAGGAGGTTTTGAATAATGTACATTGTTAGCTGTTGTAGATTTTCCGGGTTGTCCAGCTGTGGTCTTGGCATTGTAGGACCTGACGTTTCGCCAGTAGCTGTGACGGGCATCCGCAGAGGTATAACATAGAAGACTCTTTCTGTGTTATACCTCTGAGGATGCCAGTCACAGCTACTGGCGAAACGTCAGGTCCTACAATGCCAAGACCACGACCAGACAACCCAAAAAAATCTACAACAGCAAATGAACTCTGGCTGTGAAAGCCTTCGACAACATGATGCACGTTGTGTTTCTCTTTTTTTACACACATACAAACACACACACACCTCTGGACACCAAAACGAAATCGGGACATGGCGAGCCCTCATTTCATCCTCTGGGGTCAAAATGCGCTGTGAGCTTTTTCTCCGGTTGTTTAGTTAGGACTTCTAAAGTTGTCAGTTATTTAAAAATATATTGCATGTTCAAGAAGACTCAGTGCTCCGGGGGGACGTCGGGTTGGATCCTGCTGCTTCATTCTACTAACCTGGTGCCCCCCTCCTTTCCTAGGAGAGCCCTTCACTGCTAGAAGAGGTGTGAAATCTTTTTGAACAGGGCAAAAGCAGCGCCCCTTAGTGGAATGGATCCACAGGCTCCACCCCCTCATCCGCTTGTACGGAAGGCTGAACCACAGAGACGGAGAATGGAATTGTCGCTGGAGGTGTGTGGCGGGGGGGAAGGTGTTGCGCATGTGCGATGTGATGAAGGTTCAGGAAACAGGGGCTTCTATGAATTGGGGATGGGGAAAGGCCAGAAGAGGTGTGGTTGGTCCCGATCGGTGCATTTTAAAAAGGGGGAATAGCGCGGAGAGGACGGGAAGCCGCAGTCAATCCGTAGTCGAGGCATTTGCGGGGTGCCTTGAAATGGGGTGTTTCGGTTTACAAAGTGGTGAGTGATGTCATGTCAGAAGTACAGAAGAGAGGTTAAAAAAAAGAGATGGACTCCCCTCCTTCCCCATTCCCCAAATTGTTATCTTGTCAATCCGTACATGTTGCTTCAGCGTTATGTTCTTGGGGACCTGATGCATTTTTCATCATTGTCCGGGGTGGGGTGGGGGCTGTTTCTCAGCCAAGTGTCCCGTCCAGCCATTCCTCATCCCCAGTGACCTCCTTTTGTTGCTCCCGAAAGCACTGGCTTTCCTAGAGAGTGGCTTTCGTTAAGGGGAGGAGAGACTCGCGATCGGGCCTCCTCCAAGGTCTCACTCGTCGGGTGCATTTTATCCGAAAGAACTGGTGACGCCTAACCGGGCTCAGAAGAGTCGGTGCCTGTAGCTTTTTGCTCGCTGTGACATCCCCCCCGCAAGATCCATCAGACGTGTTTTGAGAGAGACGCCCTCTTATAGAGCGGCCGTAGGGTTCTGTCCAGATATTTTGCTTCCCGTTTCGGAGATTAAAGGAAAACGCCATTGATTACATCCATCCCTTTCTTGTGGTTGTCTTTATTTTCCTATGGAAACACGCCCGCGGGGCGAATTCTGTTTTTCCCCACGCATCGTGTCGAAACGGGTGAGAGCAGCCGAGAAGTGCAGGTGTGCCCTTAATCTCAGCAACCGAGGCAGAAGCGAGGCCCCAGAGAGCATCCCTGGCTCCCGCCAGATCACAACCTCACCTTCTCTCTCCCTCCCTCGCAGCATCTGGTAAAAAAAAAAAGAGTTCAGCATGACACACACACACACAAAGGGCTTTTTTTGTAGAAAAAGCCCAGCAGGAACTTATTAGCATAATAGGCCACACCCAACAGCAGAAACCCATTAGCATATTAGGCCACACCCCTGATAGCACAGCTCATTAGCATATTAGGCCGCACCCCCATGTTACCAGAAGTGTGGTTATCCAGCCACACCCACCTTTTGCTTCTTATTCTGTTGACCTTGTTTGTGGTCAAAACCCAGGGCTTTTTTTGGAGCAGGAACTCCTTTGCATGTTAGGCCACACACCCCTAATGTAGCCAATCCTAATGAGTTTCTGCTGTTGGGTGTGGCCTGTTATGCTAATGAGCTCCTGCTGGGCGTGGTCAACTCGGGAGCCAGCCGGAACTCCGTTCCTGTGCGTTCCTGCCCCAAAATAGCCCTGCGCACACACACACACACACACACACACCCTGTTTTGTTTTGCTTCGCTCAAACAAGACTGAGAAAAGGTGCGCCGAAGCCGGAGTTCTGACTCCAAGAAAGGTGGCTCCTGAAGGTCTGAATGCGTGAACAAAAATCATGTGGCTCTAGCCTAGCACGGTTCCGGTTGTCTGGATCATTCCAGCTTGGCCTCAGGCCTCTCTTGGAGTCAGAACTCTGGTGACAGTGCACACATGGCTACCTCTGAGTGAAGGCCATTCTCTTCACGTTTGGGCTGGGTATTTTGTCGGTCTTGCAATCTTGGTAGAAGAAGAAGAAGATGACGACGACATTGGATTTATACCCCGCCCTTCACTCAGGGTCTCCGAGCTGCTTACAAACTCCTTTCCCGTCCCCTCCCCACAGGAGACACCCTGTGAGGCAGGCGGGGCTGAGAGATCTCTGACAGAAACTGCTGTTTTTCGAGAACAGCTCTGACAGAACTATGGCTTGCCCAAGGTCATCCAGCCAGGTGCAAGTGGAGGAGTGGGGAATCAAACCCGGCTCTCCCAGATTAGAGTTCGCACACTTAACCACTACAACAAACTGGCGTAGGAGTCGCGATGTGTGCCCCGGTGGAGGCGGATTAATCCCTCGCTAGTAGAGGGAACCTCCCCAGGAGCACTGAAACAAACCGTGATCAGGTCATCATTGGAAGAGCCTACGTAAATATTTTAGTGGTTAATACTCCCTCCTTTCCCACTGCGAGATGGTGGCTCAAGGCCACGTACAAATCCAGGTGTCAGTTGCACAAAACAATACAGGAACATTGGCAAATGCAGATTAAGACATCATAAATATAAAACTAAGAAAAAGCAGCCCTGCCTTTCCATTGCCATTGCATGCGCTCCGCTGCATGAACCTCACCGATTGCTTTCAAAAGTCATATTTACGGTGGTTTTGCATGCCTCTGGAATGGTGGCGGTCAATGTTCCCTCTAAGCTGAGTTAGTGTGAGCTAGCTCAAAGTTTTTTAGCCTCCAGCTCACACATTTTTGTCTTAGCTCAGGAAGGAGGGCTCCAGAGCAAACTAATTTGTGCGGTGGCCAAATCGCTCGCTCACAACTCTAGAAGAAGAAGAAGAGATTGGATTTATACCCCGCCCTTCACTACCCAAAGGTGTATCAGAGCGGCTTACAAACTCCTTTTCCCTTCCCCTCCCCACAACAGACACCCTGTGAGGTGGGTGGGGCTGAGAGAACTCTGACACAAACTGCTCTTTTTCAAGGACAGCTGTGCCAGAGCTTGTGACTGACCCAAGGTCACATCAGCAGGTGCAAGTGGAGGAGTGGGGAATCAAACCCGGTTCTCCCAGATTAGAGTCCGCACACTTAACCACTACACCAAACTGGCTCTCTAATGCCAGTAGCTCTCTAATGCCAGTAGCTCACTCTAATGCCAGTAGCTCACAAAGTAGAATTTTTGCTCCCAAGACTCCACAGCTTAGAGGGAGCATTGGTGGCGGTCCCCTCTGACCTCTTCTGGGAGACTGTTCCAAAGGACAGCTGAGAAGGAATTTGTTTGAGCTGAAGAGGCAGCCTGGCCAACACATATGAAGCTCCTTTGGACTGAAGCAGGCCACTCGTCTATCAAAGTTAAGTGTCGTCTCCTCCAAGAGCAGCTCCCTGGTTTCTCTGGTTGAGGTCTTTCCTCTTATCTGCTACCTGAGCCTTTTAACTGGAGGTGCAGGGGACTGAACTAGGGATGTTCTGCATTCCAAGCATATGGTCTTCCACTGAGCCATGGCCCCTCCATGCTAAGAAGATCTAAGCTGGTGCTCACGTTCATACCAGGTATGTGAGTCCCGGGCCACGTAGCACTTTTTCAATAAGAACCATCAGGAGAAGAGAAGAGATTGGATTTATACCCCGCCCTCTGCTACCCAAGGGAGTCTCAGAGCAACTTACAAACTCCTTTCCCTTCCCCTCCCCACAACAGACACTCTGGGAGGCAGGTGGGGCTGAGAGAGCTCTGACAGGAACTGCTCTTTTTCAAGAACAGCTCTTATCAGAACTACGGCTGGCCCAAGGTCATCCAGCAGCTGCGAGTGGAGGAGTGGGGAATCAAACCCGGTTCTCCCAGATTAGAGTCCGCGCCCTTAACCACTACACCGAACTGGCTCACTTTAAATCTGACCTATAGGCAAATAGGTAGCAAAGTATGTGACATAAAATTGTCATAGTTCTTGCCCCAGAGCAGCCCTGCATGGCACAGTAGTCCAGTTGTGAAGTTACAGAGGCATGGTCAACATGGCTAGCTTGGGAGAGTCTAGATAGGGAGCCCTTTCCCACACCAAATACGTAGAAAGAACACTCTTCTTGCAATTGCAGGAATGTGTTTTTCCAGGAATGAAGTGAGATTTGATAAGGACCTCAAGTTCTTCATGGACTTTGCTATCTTAAACACCATCCCATCTAAGGAAGGCAAGACCGTTCCCTCACCAACCATTATTGTCTCTGTCTTACCTGGATTCATCTTTAGCTTTCTTCAACTACTTGACCACAGTGTCCAGGCGCTGGCCCAGAACTGAGACAGATGCTTGTGGTGGCTTATTCAAAGAAACATAGAGCAGACACCCAACCCCATAGTTGTAGGTGATCTTATTTAAAATTCTGACATAGATTTAACAACATTGGTGAACTCCATTGGATAAAACCCCATGCCACCAACACCAAAGAGCTGGCCAGTTCTAACCAGTTTCTGATTCACCTTTTTTTTTTTTTTGGGGGGGGGTGCAGACCAAACCAGGAACACTGGTTAAAAACTGTGTGAGGAACTGTGTGAGACAGGAGGCTGGACTAGATGGACCCTCACTGGTCCGATCCAGCAGGGCTCTTCTGATGTTCTTCTCAGGGGAAGGCCTCGGCCTCCATGCCCTGTTGTTGGCCCTCCAGAGGAACTGGCTGGCCACTGTGTGAGACGGGAGGC